GATCATCCAGTCATCCGGTCCAGGTCACGTGGGTATCATCTGCAAGTATGGGCTCTCCTGTGCATATGTCCTCTCTTCCCGTCAGCCGGTAACTCCTCTCTCCTCTCAAGTCCTCCATGGCCACGCCACTGACTCTGGGCCCAAGAGTCCCCAGGCCTCTGCACACTGCTTGCCAACCAGGTCCCCAACTGGGTCCACAGAAGTCCGCTGAACATTGTAGGGCTTAGCTTGCTGCTTCATTGCTGCTTTTACCCCACTTCCCCCCATCGGTGATGTGTATGGTCACCAATCAGAGCGTGCATTTCCGTTGAGTCTTAGTCTTGGAAGGTCTCCCACTTTCTTCATGGGGAAACAGAGGCACAGGGTAGATGGGAAAGTCGGGGTTTGTTTACAGGTGGTCTCTGCTGTCCGCCTGGCTTTTTCTGTGGAGGTGCTGTGTCTCGTGTTGACCCTGGTAGTGGATACTTGTTAACCCTGCAAGGGACCTCTTCATCCTCTTGCTAATCCCAGGAGGCAAGGGACACTGGGCTCACTCCAATTGTAGTTTTCCAGAGAAGAAATGTTGTTTACTTAGCTTTATGTTATATATGAAAGTGGACATGCCAAAATGAAACAAAGATGGAAGCGAACAATGGACTAACGTTTCTCACAAATAAAGGCACAAATGTCCTCAATTAACAAATCAAGTTCAGCAATGTATATGAAGGGTAATGTGTATCACTGCTGTGTGGGGTTTTTCCCAGAAATGCACATCTAGTTCAACAGTCAAAACTTCATCCCTGGCACCTGATTTTACAGATAAGGAAACAGCCCCATAGGTTGTGTCACTGCAGAGACTGGGTAGTCAGTCGCTTGCTACCTTGCCTGTATGTACACATCCAAGGCCATGTAAATAGCCACTGGTGTTTTTCCTATGAGGCTTTTTTTCAGAACTTTCCTAGAGAAACTGTCAAAATATAGCCTACCAGTTCAGCGACTCACCAACTGGTCACCCACCATGGTCTAGAAATCAAACATGAGCTTTCATTTCCTTCCAGGAGACCTTTGCAATTTAGGAAGTGTCTCCCTAGAGGAAAATTGTGAGCGTGGTGAAGGACGGCGCAGTGTTGCAATCTGTTGTGCGTGCGGTCATCTTGACTTGACTCCACAGCACCAAGAAAATCCCTTACAGAAGTAATTGACTTTCTTTGCAGCAAATATCTCCATCCCAAATAGGTAAAGAGCTACAAATCAGAAAGAAAAACCTGACAAGCCAATTAGTGAGAAATGGGCAAAGAATGTGAACAGACGCTCTGCTGTGGGGTGGGGATCCTGGAGAAAGCTAAACTGCAGAGCTGTTTGACTTGTCTGTCGGAGCCAAACACACAGGGACCCAGAAACTCCACTCTTGGGTGTACATTGCTATTGTGGTAGGTGCCATCGAGGACGACCCCACGCATAGGGCCCTTCCACAGAACAGTCCTCACAATCACTGCTGTAGCCGTGGTAGCCACTGGCGGTCCATCTTGCTGAAGGTGTCTCTCCTCACCAACCCTGACCCTCTCCTCTTCCAAACATGATGGCCTTCCTCCAGGGGCTGGTCCAAAAGTACATGAGGTAAATGGAGTCTCACTGCCGTGGCTTCTGAGGAGTCTCCTGCTTGTGCGTCTTCCAGGACGGATGTGTTCATTCATGGTGTACACAGTATTCTCGGCCATCACTGCCATTCAGAGCTATCAATTCCTGAGGCTTCCTTAGTCCATGTCAGCCTTTCACAGCGGCCTTAGTCCTCAGAGTGAAGTCTTTGCTTTTGAACCCTTTTCAAGAGGACTTTTGCCGAGAGCTTTGTTCAAGCGGTATGCTGTTGGATTTCTTGACAGCTGCCTGCATGGATCTAAGTAAAATGAAATCCTTGACAATTCTAGTATTTTCTTCATGTATCATGATATTGTTTATTGGCCCATCTGTAAGGGTTTTTGTTTTCTTTCCGTTGAGGTACAGTGCATACTGCAATTAGTCTTTCATCTTCATCAGTAAGTGCTTCAAATCCTCCTCATTTTCAACATGCAGTGGTACGTTGTCTGTGAACGAGCCTTCCTCCAATCCTGATGCCACATTCTTCATAGAGTCCAGTTTTCAGATGATTTGCTCAGCATATTAAGATGTTGGTGGCTCAGACCCACCACCTACCCGCTCCTTGGGAGAAAGCTGGGCAGTCTGCTTCCGTAAAGCTTGACAGCCTCGGGTACTCCATGTCCTCTAGGGTGGCTGTGAGGTGGGACTGACTTACTATTAACAGCAGCCTGTTTGAGCGTGAGTTTTTATACAGATTGAGTAAGTATGGTGAGTGGATGTAGCCCCGATGCACACTAGAACACACAGTATCCCTCATTCTCTTCAAACAGTTGCCTCTTGGTTTATGTATAAGTTCTATATGAGCACAATGAAAGGTTCTGGAATTTTCATTCTTCACTGTGCTCTCTGTAATTTGTTAGGGTCCACACAATTAGATAGATGCCTTTGCTTAATTAAATCACAGGTAAACACCTTCCTGGTATTCTCAGCCTTGATGTCCCTCATTATACAGCTTCTGAATCCTGCTTGAATTTCTAGTAGTTTCTTGTTGATGTATGGATATAGCCGTTTTAAAACTTATCTTTAGCAAAATTTGGCTTTTAGGTGATGTTAAGCACATTGTTCGATAATCTCCATGTTCTGTTGGGTGACTTTTCTTTGGAATGGACACAAACATAGATCTCTTCTGGTTGGATGGTCGGTTATGTAACTGCCTTCCAAATTTCTTAGATAAATGAGTGAGTGCTTCTTCCAGTGTTGGACCCACTTTGTGGAGCAGTTCCTGGGGGATTGGTTTTGGCCAGTGCCTTCAGTG